TTAGCCGGTAAAAATGACTTAATAGGGTAATATATTTTTCATTTTGTACACATTTAGTCCTTAATATTTTTATACACATTTAGTCCTTAATATATATTTTTTTGCAAAATAAGTCATTTTTGTTTTTGTACTCATTCTGTACTTATGAATGATTTCTTTAGGTTTTTTTCACGAAATATTATGTGGGGCATTCATTAATGCGGTGTTTGGGCTTTTTGATGCTTATGTCCATCGCGATCTCGACTACTTGGTTGCTTAGGTCATGTATTCTGAACGTCATAACTTCTTCATACAGTCTCGAATTTTAACGATCTTTATATCCATGCGAACGATCTTTATATTCATGCGTTCATATTTTAGTCTACTACAACTTTCATTTAGATTACTCTCATTAAAAATAATATATTTTTTACTTACGTTTTTTATATACGCAGGGGCGGATTTAGCCCGGTCCCGGTGTTGCACCGACAACACTTATTTTTTTCTGTCCGCAGTGGAAAAATTTTCAATTTTTTTTCGTTTATACCTATTTTTCATGTATCAACAACACCTATTTCATTTCGGCAACACCTACTATGTATTCCTGCGTCCGCCTATGTCCATACGTTTTTTATGAATAAATGTATGAATGTTTTTTTTTTAATTTTTTTTTAATTTTTATAAAATCGTAAGTAAAATTATATTACATTTTAATGAGAGTAATCTTAATGAAAAAATGAACACGTGGATATAAAGATCGTTAAAATTTGATATCGTATGAAGAAGTTACAACGTTCAGAATACAAGACTTAAGCTAAACCAAAAGACCTACGCAACCAAGCAGTCGAGATCGCGTTGGACATAAGCATCAACAGCCTCAAACACCTCATCAATGATTGTTCCACGTAAGATATCGTGAGAAAAATCTAAATAAATCATTCATAAGTACTGAATGAGTACAAAAAAAAGACTTATTTTGAAACAAAAAAAATGTTAAGGACTAAATATATACAAAAATATTAATGACCAAATGTGTACATAATGAAAAATATATTACCCTATTAAGTCATTTTTCCGGCTAACCTGGAGTAACCGGTCATAAGAACTGAATGTGTACAGTTTAACAAGTTGAAGGGGTAAATGTGGACGAAAAAAAAACTCAGTGACCAAATATATACAAATCGAAAAATATATTACATTTTTAAGTCATTATGCACAAATATAAGTTATTTTCTTTGATTCTCAATAAAAAATAATATTTTTGTAAATATCCAACGTAGAGCTATCGGTAAGTCACATAGGGTTTAAGAAAATAAACGGTAGTTTTAGTTTTGACTCGGTGCCGACGCGACCAAAACATCCCCATCGTCATCGAAGTCTCTCTTCCCTCTCCCTCCCATGTCAGCGCCCCTCTCTTTGTAACATCCCGCAGAAATTGATATTCAAAACTGAATATCACAGAGACTATGCCAGTTAACCCTTACTCCAGTTCCATGGTGGATTGAGACGCAGTGGAGGTTTGTACTGAAAGAGTCTATGGAGGTTTAGAGTATATAAGATCCTAGAGTAATTCATTCTGTTTTCTTCCCACAAAAGGACGCTTCCATTGAACTAGAATCCAGAAAAAAGAACATAATAGCAAGTTTGCTATTAGGAAGCCGAAGGAAGGCGTATGGTTGTTCTGCAAACGCTTAAAGAACGGCCATTTCCATGTTCTTCTCAGATACTTAACCTTAAATCTTATGTTGCCTCCTCTTATCAGGTTAGCTTCTTGCCGTAATTTGGTAAGAAATTCCATGACTCTCCGCTTTAAATTCGTTTCATCGCTTGCCCAATTAAGTAGTTCCGACGTGTCAGACTCATCTTCTGACGAAAACAATACCAATTTGGTCCGTCGACCGCTTGATAAACTCGATAAGTTTGAAGTTATTGAAACCTTGCACAAGTTAAACAGAGAACCCAATATTGGGTTGTCATTTATAACTCAACTGAAAGCATTTGGTTTTAAGCATGATGTAGTAAGTTATATGGCAATTGTTCGATTCTTGTGTCATTGGGGTATGGATATTAGGTTATATTCTTTGTTTATGGATGTTATTGATAATAACAATGGGGAACTTCTTAGTTTTGAAATTTCGGATCTGTGTGATGCATTGATAGAAGAGATTGAGATGGAGGGGCTGGAAAAGCTGATAAAAGCCATATATGTGTTGGTTAAGGTGTATGCAAGTGTTGGAAGGTTTGAGGACGCCATAGATACCTTGTACAAGATAAAAAGGGGTCGACTTGTGCTTTCAACAAGAACATGTAATTATCTAATGAACCAGTTGATTGAGTGGGACAAACTGGATATGGTAGAATCAGTTTACAGACAATTGAAGATGAAAGGGTTAGTTCCAAATGTGTATACTTATGGGATTCTGATTAAAGGACTTTGCAGAAAGGGTTGTTTGGAAGAAGCCAATGATGTGCTTAGACAAATGGAAGAGGCTGGAGTGGAGCCTAATGCTTTCACTTTTGGTACCTATATTGATGGACTTTGCTCAAAAGGAAAAACTGATCACGCCTTTCAAAAACTAAAAAGTTTTAGGGAGTCAAATCTGCCAGTTAATCTTTTTGCTTATACTTCTGTCATTCGAGGTTTTATAAAAGAGTCAAAGCTAGAAGATGTAGAAAATGTCTTGCTTGACATGTTACATACAGAAGTTTTCCCTGATGCAGATTGTTATTGTGTGTTAATTCAAGGGTATTGTCAGAAAGGCGACATTCATAGGGCATTGGATCTTTATGAAGAAATGGAATCAAGAGGTATTAAAACCAATTGTGTGATTGTGAGCTCGATAATGCAATGCTTGTGTGGTTTGGGCAAACTGGTTGAATCTGTAGCATGGTTCTTTGATATTATGAAATCAGGAGTTTTCCTTGATGAAATCTCGTTTAATATCACAATTGATGCTTTATGTAAACTTAAGAAAATGGATGAAGCCATGAAGTTGTTTAATGACATGAAAGGTAAGAACATGAAACCAGATGTTGTGCATTACACCACTTTGATCAAAGGGTACTACCTCAATGAAGAACCTTGGAATGCATATGAAATCTTTGAGGAGATGAAGTTGAATGGATTGAAACCAGATTTTATCACTTTCGATGTTCTTGCTAGTGGGTTATCAAGATTCGGCAGTTTTGAAGACACAATTGATCTTTTACATGATATGCAAACACAAGGTTTAGAACCTACCAGTATTACACATAATGTGATCATTGAGGGGTTATGTAAAGGAGAAAAGACAAAAGAAGCTGAAGTTTATTTCAATAGTTTACACCCCAAAAACCTGGATAACTATGCTGCAATGATGAATGGGTACTGTGAAGCAAACAATACTACAGATGCCTTTGAGCTTTTATTCTCTGAGAAACGACTTTTTGCAAAAAGGGCTTCTTGTTTGAAGCTTCTAAGTTGTCTTTGTGCAGAAGGTGAAACTAAAAAAGCTATGAAACTATATAAAGAATTTGAAGCTTCAGATAATGGTCCATGTAAGACAATGTATAGTGAAATTATATATTTGTTATGTCGTGTTGAAGATATGCGAACAGCTAGGGTGATTTTTGACAAAATGATTCAGAAAGGATTTACACCAGATGTTGTTACATACACTATGATGTTATATGGTTACTGCAGGGTGAAATGGTTAAATGAAGCCCATAATCTTTTTCTTGACATGAAAAACAGGGGAATCAAACCTGATATATACACATATACAGTTTTGCTTCATGGAGCTAGAACAAAAGAGGATGTAAAGGATCTTACAGATGAGTTGAAGGAGAATGGTTTATCTTTTGATGTTAATTGCTACACTGTTGTGATCAACAAGTATTGTCAGTTGAACAACCTACATGAAGCTGTTTTGCTGTTTAAAGAAATGAAAGATAAAGGTGTTGAACCAAATACTGTGACATACACTGTGTTTGCACGTGGTTTATGTCATCAGGGGTATAGGAATCATGCTGTAGCACTTGTTGATGAGATGATATCAAAGGGTATCCAGCTGAATAAAAGTACAATTAGAGCACTTGAAGTGGTGATCAAAAAGTGTAATTTTGATCATTAGAGAATTGCTGGTTTTGAATCTATATCATAATACGATCAAATCTGCATTTTAAAGAAGAGGTTCAAATCCAAACATCAAAGGGAAGCTCTGGTTTTCTTAATAGAGCCATAGAGGGATTATCTCAATGGGCACTAATGTCTCAAGCTCAAAATTTTTCCTAAGATCTGACTATGTATATTTATATATAATAGAGCTATAGATGACTTGTTCAGTGAATACTCCCAATGCATGTGATGTAGGCATCTGAGGTTTTTTTTAGTGAAGTTGCTTCTAAAGAAGGTTGATGCCATGAAAAGGTTATCTATTGTAAGTTGTAACTATAACATCTCCTAGGCATTTCTTCATATATCTCCAAGAGTGTTGTTATATATTCTTTTCAGTTTCTTAATTCATTTAAATTGTAACTTACAATGTATAACATTTAACCTCATTGAAACTTGTAATTACTTGTGACATTAACTTTTACCAAAATTGTCTAATGACCAAATAACATGAAGAACATCAAGTTCCTTGAGATGCAAATGTAGGTTATTCGTATCTAATTCTAAACCAAACCAAATAAATCAAACTAATTAAACGGAAAACCGATTAAACAAAACTTTATTTTACCAAACTAGTTACAATAATGTAAAGTATTGGTAAATATGAGTTACTTTTAATTCTCAATAAACAAATATTTTTTTGTAAATATCCCGCATAGAACTTTTGTTAAATCGTAGGGTTTAAGAAAATAAATGGTACTTTCAGTTTTGACTCGGTGACGACACTACCAAAACACTCCATCGTCATCGAAGTCTCTCTTCCCTCTCCCTCCCATGTCAGCGCCCCTCTCCTTGTAAAATACCGCAGAAATTGATATTCAAAACTTAATATAGCAGATTCCATGGTGGATTTGAGATCCTTGAGGAGATGAAAGGAAACAGATTGAAACCAGATAGCATCTTTTATGATGTTATTGCTAATGGGTTATCAAGATGCGACCTTTTTAATAACCCAATTGGTCTTTTACATGATATGAAATCACAAGGTTTGAAACCTACCAGTATTACACATAATCTGGTCATTGAGGGTTTATGTAAAGAAGGAAAGATGAAAGAAGCTGAAGATATTTTTAATAGTTTACAAGAGAAAAACTTGGATAGTTATGCTGCAATGATGAATGGGTATTGTGAAGGAAACAATACTCGAGATGCATTTAAGCTTTTTTTGTCTGAGAAAGGACTTATTACAAAAAGAGCTTCTTGTTTGAAACTTGTACGTTTACTTTGTGCAGAAGTTGAAACTAAAAAAGCTATGCATATATTTCACAAGTTTGAAGCTTTAGATAATGGTCCATGTAAGATGATGTATAATGAAATTATATACTGTATTTATTATGTCGTATTGAAGACATGCAAATGGCTACATGGGTTTTTGATAAATTGATTCAGAAAGGATTTATACCTGATGTTGTTACATACACGATGATGTTAAATGGTTATTGTAGGGTGAACAGGTTAAATGAAGCCTATAATCTTTTTGATGACATGAACAAGAAGGGTTTTAAACCTGATATATACACATATACAGTTTTGCTTCATGGGGCGAGAAGAAGGGAGGATGTGATGAGTATCATACAAGAAATGAAGAAGAGTGGTTTATCTTTTAATGTTAATTGCTACAATGTAATGATAGATAAGCATTGTCATTTGAACAACTTACATGAAGCTGTTTGTTTGTTTAAAGAAATGAAAGATAAAGGTGTTGAAAGGAATACTGTGACATACACTGTTATTATACGTGGTTTATGTCATCATGGGTTTAAGGAGAAGGCTGTAGAGCTTTTTCATGAGATGATATCAAATGGTATTCAGCCGAATAGAAGTACAATGAAAGCACTAAAATGAAATTTTAAATAGGTAAAAAGGCCATCCGCCATCAACATGAAATGTTATTTTGTTCGGATTGTCTTCTTGCAGATAAAGCAAATAATGTTATTCTGATCCACTAATGAAAGGTATTTTTTTTTTTTTGGAAGAGACCGAAGCCTCGGCAAACTATCCACTAATGAAAGGTAAAGGCCTCTTCTTTGTTACTTTTTGGGTAGCCATATTATGTATTATTTCACCACACATAAAGAAAAGCCTTTCACACATTTCAGGTTCTTAAACTGTTTAGATCCAAGAACTCGGCTCCCTCTGTTTAAACTGAAAGTTGAAAATGATAGTGATCTCAAGTAGCTGAAAGGTTCACATGTTGAGTTATTACATTTCAAAGTATGGTTCAAAGTATAACAAAAAGAGAAAACATATGTAACGTTTTTATATCTGAAAATCAATGTTTAAGATTAACATTTCAAAGTATGAACCCTGTAGAAATTAATAATCTCCACCCTTGAATGGGATAGAGGAATATCCTTTATTATATAGATGATTACAAGCAAAAGTAAAGGAGAAAATATCTACTGCTGCCAAGAAAAGAGATAAATAAGAATCTTGTGAAATATTATCCTCTAATATTATTAATATTTTCCCTTAATAAACCCGAATAATATTTTCGGAATGCTGTATTTTAAAATCTAAAATGTTACTCAACCAAAATCTCTTGTAAGATTTAAAGAACCTTACCACGACCGAAGCATATTCAAGGGAACAAAAAATGCAACTTAGTTGAAAAACCAATGATTCTAAATATTTTGGTGGTAGAGGTCGAAAGAATTTTTTTTCCCGAATGTTGGACACAAATGAAAAAAGATTATTTCGGATCTATACTGAAAATTTCGATTTATAATTTTATTTATTTATTTCCAATAATCATCCTGATTACTTTTGTCTAATACTTAAAAATTCGATTATTTCTGTACAAATATTCCCCAAAATCCACGATTTGAAACGCAAATACTCTAACAAGAATATGGGGCGGAAGAACCACCATGGAATCGGGTCAAACTTCGGTACCAAATGTAGCCCGCGTCGTTTCGCACCACGTGTATATTGTGCACCTCCTTCTCACTTTCTCCCACATCTTCCTATTTTGCCACGATTTTCTTGAGTGGTTCATGGTTTGTGAAAGTAAATCACACAATTTGTCAACTTCTTGAATACCTGTGGACCGACTTCGCACTTTCTCTTTCTTTCCTCCAACTTTCTTGGCAACAAAATCAGATCAATTTACAATGGAAATTGCGACTGCGCACAAGTTCAATTCCATTCGTTTGCTTTCACAACTATCCAATCCAGGTTATGTGTTCCTCAACTTTCTGCAATACCCACACCGGAATTCGAAACTTGATTGACCAAATCAACTCTTGTTCTTTACTTAGGGTTCCTAAATCCGTTTTCCCCATTTGGTTTTATCGATTCTATTTCGATTTCGATTTCTATGTGTGTCAAGTTTCTATCACATTCAAATGATTTCTCAATCATCATCTGCAAGCTTTGATTTTTCCAAGATTTTATGGATGTCATCATCACCCATTTGCCCATGTCAGAATACAATCCAATTGAGTTCGAGTACGAGAACAAGAACAAAAATCAAAACCTCCATTTGTAGAACAAAAGTTTCAAGGAGAAGAAAAACGGGACTGGTTTGGGCTTGTATGGTTCCCATCGATGGAAAGAATCAAAATTTGAAAAGTTTCGCAGAAAATCAAATTTCAAATGAATTAGATAAAGCTGGTGAATCTTCGTCTCACGATTCCGTTCAATCGAGTTATTCCAACGACTTCACTGGATTTACAGAAGACCCCATTGTAGGTAAACTAAGATCTCAACTTGGGCTCATACACCCTCTCCCTTTTCCTCCTCTCAATCGAAACATCGGTGGACTGTTTCTCTTCTTTTTTGTTTTTGGGATTCTCTTCGATAAGCTTTGGACATCAAGAAAACGAAAGAACAACGATGAGGTCGGGAATCCGGCAACATGGCCACAAGTTCCCACAAGTTTTTCACTGTTTCTCGAGAAGGATTTACAGAGGAAGGAATCAGTCGAGTGGGTAAACATGGTGTTAAGCAAGCTATGGAAGGTTTACAGAGGTGGACTCGAAAATTGGGTCATCGGTTTACTTCAACCCGTTATTGACGACCTAAAAAAACCCGATTATGTGAAAAGAGTTGAAATCAAGCAGTTTTCTCTTGGGAACGAGCCTTTTGTAGTTAGAAACGTTGAACGCAGAACTTCACGCAGCAACAATGATTTACAGTTAGTTATTCTATTCCCACTTTCATGGATGCCACTAATAAAGCTAAAGTTTTTATGTTCAAAATTTTGTTTTACTTTTTGAAGGTATCAAATAGGTCTTCGTTACACTGGTGGTGCTCGAATGCTTCTAATGTTGACACTAAAATTTGGGATTATTCCAATTAAAGTTCCTGTTGGCATTAGAGATTTTGATATTGATGGTGAACTTTGGGTTAAATTGCGATTAATTCCATCTGAGCCTTGGGTTGGAGCTGTTTCATGGGCTTTTGTGTCACTTCCCAAAATAAAGTTTGAATTGTCACCATTTCGGTTGTTTAATCTTATGGGTATGCCATTTTTATTACTTCTTAATCACCCCTATGTTTGTTTTAAGATATATTACTAACATATTTTTGTACTTTTTTCTATTCTTGCATGTATTGTTATGTAACACCAGCTATCCCTGTACTTTCAATGTAAGTGGCCTTCTGCTTACAATCATTATTTTGTATAACATTTTATAATAGGGCTATGTCTATATCTAATTTGGATGTATCTTGGAAAAATTTTTAGGTTTTTGAAAAAGCTATTAACAGAAGATTTGCCTCTACTATTTGTGCGACCTAAGAAGATTGTGTTAGACTTTCAAAAGGGGAAAGCAGTGGGCCCATTACAAAACGATTTCAAGTCGGGTGAAATGCAAGAAGGAAACAAGGATTTTTCTGGTGAACTTTCAGTCACTCTTGTTGATGCCCGGAAGCTCTCTTATGTCTTTTATGGTGAGTAATCTATGTTATACAAATTTCCAACTTTACCCTTTATTATAATTTTACATTCTGACCCATACTTTCTTATTTAGGAAAAACGGATCCGTATGTTGAATTAAGACTAGGAGATCAAGTGATACACAGTAAAAAGAATAGTAGGACAACTGTGATTGGGCCCCCTGGCCAGCCTATATGGAACCAGGTGAGCTTGACATGACATGACAGAACAAGTTGTACTGACCAAGACAAAGACAGATGTCAGTGAGACAAAAGTTAATTCTTTCTTTTTTATGACAGGATTTCAGTATGCTAGTTACAAATCCAAGAAAAGAGAAACTAACAATTCAAGTGAAGGATTCTTTTGGATTTATACATTTGACAGTTGGTTCAGGCGAGGTAAATCTTTAAATCTTTTACTCAAACAATCACATGTTTCTTTTATTTTTACCTAAAAATGGAATCATTTTTTCAGGTTGACTTGGGATTGTTAAAAGATACAGTTCCAACAGACAGAATTGTGACTCTCCAAGGAGGCTGGGGGATGTTGAACAAGGGATCTGCTGGTGAGATCCTACTGAGACTCACATATAAAGCCTATGTTGAAGATGAAGAAGATGAAAAGATCAATGGATTAGATGATGAGTTCCAGGAATTAAAGTCAACTGGCACTACATACAATCCTTCCCCACGTGGGACAGAAAGAGAATCACTCATTGATGTTTTAGCAGCCTTGATTGCGAGTGAAGAGTTTCAAGGAATCGTGGCTTCCGAAACAGCAATGAGTAAATCTTCCATTGATACGTCGGATTCGGTGATTCCTGACTTAGTTTCTTCACCCAATTCTGAGACTGATTCCGGAGGTATTGGTTACATTTCAATTGCTCTAATTTATTGCCACGTGTTCGGTTTTGACTAACTATAGAATTGCTTGCAGGATCAGCCTTATTATGGCTTGGTGTGATCACGATCATGACAATAGTAACAGCTATTAACATGGGTGGCTCAAATATCTTCAATCCTTGATGTAATCAAGTAATCCTTGGGGGGAATGGAATCTCATTGAGCAAAGAAATGTTCATTCAGTGAATGGAATGTGTTTGGACTTTGGACATGATGAGTTTTTTTTATAAGGAACAACCATAGAAGATTGTTTTGTAGAAAGTAGAGAGGGAAGGAGGAGTAGATAAACCGGTGGATGGTGCTTATGTATGTGAGGTCATCTTCAACCAAACACCAAAACTCAATTTTTATACCTTTTTGGTGTTGGATCATTTCCAATAAAACACTAAATTCAGTGTTTTACTATTCATTTACATTGTATTGATGTTTAATTTTTCTTTATAATTTGGTTTTGTAAGTTTAAATGTTTATTTAATTGTATATGATATTCAAAGTAGCCCTCCTCTAATTTTTCAAGACACACTGTTATAGTAGAATGCTAGTTTGTACTTTGTAGATGTAATTGACCTCAAAGTTTGATGGGAATGGGACATTATTTGCGGTTGTTGAATCTGGCTCATCAAGAGCATCTTTTGGGTGCTGCTTTTGCCCACAACTCCTAGGCCCAACTTCCAGCCCACCTCATGGTCCGCTTCAGTCTAAACGTTTTTCCAGCCCATGATCTTCTGGACAAAATACTCAAGCCCACATTGCTGGGCAACCCACTTATGTTCTGCCTTGGAGACCTGCATATTTGCGATCCCTGACCGGTCTCGAAACAGTCCAATAATTTTAGAACCGCTTTGCAATGTCCAGTCTTTTTTCGGAGCAGTCTCGGAACGGGCTTTTCTCGGTCCGCTCTTTTTTCCGGTCTTAGTTTGGTCTGGTCTTTTTGGGATCGATCTCAGTCTTTTTCGGTTCGGTCCCGCAGCCTTTGAGTGCATATTTTTTGGTTCGGAATTGAGCTTTTTCGGTTTGTTTGTTTGTTTTGTTTTTTTTTTTTTTTCTAAATCAATAACTTACTTCAAATTTTCTATTACCGGATTTATTCTGTAGATAACATCTTTTATTGATCATTAAATTACAAAAGATTTTATTTATGCATTTGATATTTAAATTACTAAGCGTAATATTACAGACAATAAACACGTATAAATATAAAATAGAAACAGAAGACATAAAAATTTAGTAAGAAAAAAAGGGAGGTGCGTTTATATTGCTTCCTCATCACACATCGATGGTTTGAATGACACTATCGTCTCCTGTCCCGCAAGCTCTTGTCTCCTCCTCCCAAATTGCCTCCTCATCCCACATCGATTGTTACTCATGACAAGACCATCCTCCCATTTGTTCAATGACACCAAATTAATGCCCCTCTTATCATTTTCTTGAAACCGAAAGAACCTCTCCCAAACTATACTCTTCCATATACCTTTAGTCAACTCCTTACACTACTCGCGTGGCTTCTGCTACTCGTTTCATTCCTCCCTCTCATGCTTCCCAACACCGCCGACAGATTCCATGTTAGTTTTCTCCATCTCGCCGTTGCTTCCCACCTTCATCCTGGCAGCCCTGCCTCACCCTCTTCCGCCACAACGCCGTCTTCACCAACTACATCTACCTCTCAAAATTAGCCTCATGTTACCATATCTACTCATCCTATACCGACTAGATCTCTTTATGGAATGTCAATCCAAAGGCTAATCTTCACATATATTCCTCCTCTCCGGTTCCTCATTCTTAGACTTAAGCTTTCCATGACCCATACTGGCTCAATGCTATGCGAGAAGAATACTAAGCACTTATTTCTAATGGTTTTTTTAACAACTATATATTTACATATTCACAAGTTCTAACAATTTGTTAGAACTAAACATCAAATCAATTACAATGGGCACATAAGCAAGACCTTCCAAACTACACTAGAGTTAGCACGATTATTCAACCAAGAAAAAGATTGTAAAACAATATTATCAAAAAGAGTATTCTTTCTAATTTGTGCACCATCAAACACCAATGAATTCCAGTTATCAAAATAAACCACAAGGAGGTCATGACTATAATTTCCAATCTTAAATTCTTTGTATAACATACATGGCTATTGTCAATCCATGATAGCCATTCCTTAGTCGTAAACGTCGAAGGCAACCACACGTCACACCACCGAGAAACCAAATCCCATACTTCAACTGCCACTTTACACCGAAATAAAAGATGTTGATTCGATTCAAGACCTTTTCCACACAATGGACACAAAATCAAATTTAACTCCATACCCTTGTTTGACAAGTTGAATCTAGTAGGTAATCCATCTAAATACAACCACTAGCCAAGGATAGGTGACACTTTGCACCGACTTGTGGCTTGGTCCCCTCCTGTGAACGAAACCTCATCAATGTGTGATGTATAGTAACATTCATCGAAAACTACCCTCCGGATCAAGAGCCCAACAATAATGATTAGGTGATTCTGATAACACCAGATCTTTAACTTCTTCCATTAGTAATGGCAATTGTTCCTCTTTACAACCTCCACATATATGTATTCTCCAACTTCAAACCCAAGAGCCTTTGGCCAATCTATGACTAAATAAGCATTCAAGATCAAAATCTAGCTGAAAGCCTAGGAAACTGGAACTGAAATGCCTGCTTACCCCACCAAATATCTTGCCAAAATCTAATGGAATCTCCTCTCCCTAATCTCTTCTTCAATGTAGATAGTGGAACAACACTAGATTCATCCATATTTTTAATAGCTCTCACAATTTTTGACCACACACCCTGATTACCACCACCACAGACCACCCTATCAATACCAACATCAACCCCATGTATAACTTTGATAAGATAGAACCAATATGATTCTCCTTCTGACATGACCCTCCATCTCCATTTCTGCAACACAACATTGTTAAAGGCTGCTAAAGTACCCACCCCAATACCTCCATTCTCAAAGCTAGCTATCACCCGACCCAATGTAACCTAAGCTAGCTTACGGTATCCAATCTCACCACCCCAAAAATTACTTTGCAAGGAATCCAATTACTTTAGAATCCTACCAGGAACCTTGAAAATCAACATAAAATATATGCCAATGCGAACACTACATCATCTGCGTAAAGGAGATGCGACGAACGAAGCACTGTCTCCATAATGTAACCCCGCGAATAAAACCATTCTCCATTGCTTCTTGAACCATCACATGAAGTCCATCCATTGCTAGAATAAACTAAAATGGAGAGATTAGATCTCCTTTCTGAAGACCTCGGTATATCGAAAACTCTGAAGAAGGATTCTCGTTTACTAAAACCGACGCTCTAGCAGAAGATAAACATGCATGAATCCAGCCTCTCCATTTATCAACAAAACCTAAATCATCCATAACATGATTAAGGTATTCCCAGTTTAAGGAATCATATGCGTTCTCGAAGTCTATCTTGAAAATTTTCAATTCTTTTTTTACTAATCGACAATGTCACTAAGTATAAGTGGACCATCAAGGATTTGCCTTCCTTTGATAAAAGCTGTCAGTTCCTCCGAAACTAGGTTCCCAACAACTCTATCAAGCCATATAGCAAAAATCTCCACGATTATAATATACTGTACCCCTATCAGAGAGATTGGTCTAAAAGCTTTCACAAAAATTGAGTTCTTTACCTTGGGGATTAATGTTATGAAAGAAGCGTTACACCTATTCGATATATTCCCTGTTTGAAAAAACTCCTGAACATAGGCTATGATATCATCTTTCAAAATCGACCAATACTTCTTGACAAATTTGAAAGAGAAACCATATGGTCTTGGAGCTTTATCACCGCCACAACTCCAAAATTCATCTCTAATTTCATCCTCCAACACCCTACCCTTCAACATCACTCGATCTTCCTCACATAGAGAAGCAAACCCAAAACTGGTAACTTCCAAAATAGCCAAAAAAACAGAAGCATACTTATGTTTGAATTTTTTTAGGAATACATCTTTAACCTTCTCTATATCCTTACACCATACACCGTCCTCCATCACCCCTTAAATTGCTTGTTTCTTTTTTCGCTGCTTCAACGTACCGTGAAAAAGGTGTTCAAGCGGTTAAAAGTTCTAACTAAATGTTAAAATCCTTTTTGGTTGCCCTCATACTCAAGAATAATCAAGAAATTGCTTGGATTGATTAAGAGGGAGATAAATGATTTATTAATATATTATATGATTAATATATTAGTTAGAAAGAGTAATAATTAATTAAGAATTAATCCGAATTAATTTTGAATTAATTATGGGTTAATTAGAATTAATTAGAGGTATAAGTTTTGGATTGCAATTGTTCAATAGTCGAGCAAAAAAGATAATCCAGAACGTTTCATGAGGTGAACGGTTTTGGAGCCCCACTTTAGGTGTAAGGTCTCATTTTCACAACAAAAAATTTTCATTTATAATTAAGGGAAAACTTCACAATTATAGAATTCAAGTTAAGAAAACCATTGGTTCAAAAAAAAAAAATACATTTGTTTAAAAATCAGAGTAATATAATAAACGCGGAGTCTTCATTGCTGCTGATGAATGTGTATAATCACGCCTTCACCTTACCACGATCATCATTGGTACCTAAAAAACATTTAATCCACAAATGTAAGTCAAAGCTTAGTGAGTTCCCCAAAAATACCACACACCACAATACATATACAATGCATGCACACCGGGCCCACAATCATAAAGACGGATGCATCCCGACTATGAGAGTGATGCCTCTTATATATAAATGATCCTCTCGATTAATTGTTGGTTGGGGATTTGTGGACGAGGTAAGTGGTAATCCATTTTTTTCTAGATAAAGTGTCGATACTATGAATGGACTCTAAAAATTATTGCTTGTGCATCTACATGGGATTCTGGATGTTAGAGGCGGGTTTGATTGGAAGTTTTTGAGGTCTCCATCTGAGATTTGGAATCTCTTTGATTTTTCTTGGTCTTTACCTGGGAGATCATCACACGTTGTGTTATACATTCCAACAGTCAGAGATGGTATGTACTGGTTGAGCCGGTTTGAGATATAGTTTGTTGCAACGCCAGTTGGTGGTAGTTCGAACCCTAAGTGAGGGAGAACTAGGTATTCTGCTTGGGGGATCATTGATCCGTTTGAGTATATGTTTTCTGAAGAATGGTTCATAGAGATCTATGGTTCGGGTATGCAAGAGTTTAGTTCAAGATTGGGTCAAGTCGGGAGTGTAGAGCAGGTTGTTATCAAATGTATGTGCTCAGGAAATGCATGAGTCATCTCGCAGCAGGAAGTTGTTGGTCAAGGAGCT